TACCAGTGAGGAAGGTGCGCAGGTGCAGGAAAAGAACGTGAGGATTCAAATTCAAAGGAAGGACATAGGCAGCATAACGGGCCTCCCACTAATGAATATTCATGACCTCTAGTAATAAAATGACGGTTAACTAGTACCAAGCGCGGCTGCCACCTGGCAATCTGCCCGCCCAAGAACTTTTGTGGGTGTACTTTCTTTTTTTCCTTTCTTTTCTATTAAATCTTCTTTTCTACCTACCTCATTAGTGGTTGTAGTTTCACTTTGCGCCTAGGGACAGATCTCTAATTTTAGTGATCTGGACCCAAAGAACCAAGGACTTCACAGCGCAGCTCCACACTCTCCCATCCGTTAACACTCTCTGGAAAGGGATGTAGTGGAAGAGAGGCCGAGAAGCTGTCCTGGGCTGTGCCTCTCAGAGGCTCGGTGGAGACGTGATTTCTCCTGGCCCCCGGACAACCTGGGATGTCCACAGCCCGTCTTGTCCATCCTCAGGCCTGCAGCTCTGCTCTTTGGAGGCAGAATGCGATGAGTCGGATCATCTAGGTGCGTGGCCTGCCCCTCCTCTTCTCAGAACTCTGACCTCTTCCCCCCTGGAGAAATGTGGGCATCTGGCTTTGTTTTCAACATGGGATGGGTAGATACAACTTGGACCTCTTTTTTAAACATCTGTGAGAAAAGGGATTTTGCCTTCACTCCCCTCGAGGCTGACTCCCCTCGAGGCTGACTTCTGTCGAGGCTGACTTCCCTATCAGCTGGGCCACCACTCGTTCTTACGGGACTGGGTTTTCTGGGTGAGATCTGTCTTCTTCTTTGGGGGAGGTGAGAAGGATCATAGCAGACATGCTTTGGATTTATGGTCACCTGAACCTGTACAAAAGGTCGGTTTCTTTTTTCCATCCAGCCTCCTGTTTTCCTATCAATGCTCCTTGCATAGTTCAGAAGCATGTATGTATTAAGTGTAGGATGTGTTGCAAATTGCAAAGTGGATATAATTTTGCCTGATATAAGGATAGTTCAAAATCTCTCTTAAAATTTGTCCATGACTAGCCCTGTGGCTTAGTGGGTAAGGAACTTGCATTCTATATGGTTGACTACAGTTCAAATCCTGAACCTGGTAGCTTGAAAAACACACCGGATGCATGTGCACACATGCCCCAAATTCCAACAGGTTGGAGAAATGGAGAAGAGATTGTGGTGTGACCACTCCCCACTAGGGGAATGCTTTCTCTCTCTCTCTCTCACTGTGTCTCTCATAAACGTGTGTGCCCTCTGGAGTTTAAATAGAATGTGCCCACTCTTACAGTTGGTTTTCTCAGATCTCATGTCCGACTCAGACCACAGAACAGCCATTGATCTGCTCCATTGTGCTGTTCACGGAACTTGCTGTCTGCCTCCTTTTCCTAACAGCCAAGGTAATGTTATCACCTGATCCCAAAGATCTGTTCTACTGAACATTTTTTAAATCTATAAAAATAATATGTTGTGGAATATTAAGGAAACATAATGTGTTGTGATTGAAGTATTTGAAATAATTCTTACTATAAAAAGTAATCATTTAAATTACTTTTTCCCCAGAAAAGCAATTTTAGAGATTACTTTCAACCTTTCCTTTCCCTTCTCTTGGAAAAGGATTTCTATTACTATATTTTAGCCATGCAAGACCATAAATCCATCACACTGCCCACTGACCTGTATAAACTATTCAGGCACATCATTCTTCTCTGTGCCATAAACCATGAAAATAAATGACAAAATGACATTATAAGTGATGAACTTCCAAGGCCAACACAGTTTCAGTATATTTCCTCTTATCCTTGTTCTGTTTTATAGAAAAATTAAAAAAAAAACACAGCTTAATGGAAGTAGGTAATAACAAAAAGTAATGCCAGGTCCATTTAAGTAATTCCCCATGAAAATATTGAAATATAAATTGCCCTGTGAAAACATGATTAAAGAGGGGGAAAGTCTATGGAAATCAAGATGTAGGAAGACTCACGACCTCTTTCACATGCAGAAAGATAATTTATTAAATCTTTTTAACTCTTTTTTTTTTTTTTTAAGTTTTGGTATAGGGTGTGTATACTCACCTGAGAGAGACAGAGAGAGTGAAAGTAAGAAATCATTCCTGAAGGAGATGACCATACTGCAGTCCCTTCTTCTCCATTCTCCTCTCCAGATTCTGGGCACACATGCACACTTGCCCTGAGTGACTTTCACACTGCCAGGCCTGGGACTCGAACCATAGTCTGCTATGTGGGAGACCAGTGCCTTAACCAGCATGCCACCTGCTGACTCCTTGAATCTTTTCTTTCCTATCTATTTGTATATAAAACAGCGTCTGTCCTGCTGGCTGGCAGTCTGTCTCAGCTCTCACTGGTTCTGTGTGTACTGTGGCTTGACTGGCTGTTCGTCAGAACTCTCTCCATGGCCGAAAGGTCCCCTTCTTGGGTCTCTGGTGGTACCTCATGTGTTGGGGTCTGTAAGCACCAATGTGGCTGTTAGATTGTCCCAGGCAAGTGTTGAAGACTAGCCAGGCACCAAGTCCCCAGGGCAAGGGCAGGGACAGAGGCCGGGGACCAACAGGGACGTTTCAGTGAGCTTCCTCTAACATTCTGTTGATTTCAGAACCGTATTCATAGATAATCCTCTAGAAATAACACAGATAAATAAACTCTGTACAGCTGTTCTGTCTTCTGTGATTTGCAGATCTATGTGCAGACTGATGATCTTAACAGAGCCAGGTCAGAGAGATGGTATGTGCCCCGATGTGGTCAATACGGCTGAGTCAGGGAACCGCAGTTAGCTTTTAACCACGAGGTCATGAGCTTTGATACCTACATGGCATGGCACCTGTGTGGGGGAAAGTAAGAACTTGCAATGCTTTTCTTGTGGTGGCACGTACTTAATTTTTTAAAAAGTTCTCTCCTAAGAAATGTGGGTAGTGAATGAAACAGGAAGATGTCCAAATTTGTTAGCAGACGTTTGCATAGCTGTGGCTAGTGCCAGGAGTAGGTGGTTAGGTTTGACACTGGGACATTGTGTGTTTCATGTGGACCGTGGGGTGAGTGACTGGCAAACTGTTGGTCAACCATAATCAAGAATATGTATTTTCCGTGATCATATGGATTGCTTGTTTCCGAGATGTATTTTTCTTCTGTGTATTTGATTATCAGAGAAAAAAGATACTCAGTCAGAAGAGGACTATGATTATTTAAAAAAAATAAGTATATGCAGCCAGCAGGTGGCATGAAGTTAAGGCAGCTGGATCCCACATGGATGGCACTGTGGTTCAAATCCCGCACTCAGTGGCTTGAAAAACATACCAGGTGTGTGCATGTATGCCAAAATCCTGAGAGGAGAATGGAGAAGGAATTGCAGCGTGGCCATCCTCCCCCCAGTGGGGGTGGGGGTTGGCTTCTCACTCTCTCTCTGTCTTTTCCTGTCGCTTCAAATGACGACGCTGACAAGGTCTTCTCCGGAACACTTTATTACCCCAGGCTTCTTACAGTCTTCTTCTTCCTCCTTCCTCCATTCTCTCCAGCCTCCTCCCTCCTTCCTTCTTTCTCCGCAGCCTTCTTTTCCCAGCCCACCCGGGCTCCCTATATATCCGTCCCGCGAACCAGTCCTCTTTTGCCACCAGGCAAGCACTGATAGGCTGAGGCAGTGCCCACGCGTTCCGGAACAGGAACAATAACCAAATATGGGCTTGTTTGTGTAGAGGTCTGGGTGCTCTCGGCGCCATGTTAGGGTGGGGGCGCTCCACATTTTCCTCAGTCTCAGGCAAATGCACCTACCCTGCATCAAATTTTAAAATAATAATAATAATAGTAATAATTACTGCAAATACAAGGGTCTTCAAAATGTCATGGAAAATGTATATTATGTAAAAATTATGCATGGATTTCAATTTCTTTTGCAACAAAATAAACTTGTATATTAATTCCATTTTCCACAAGTTTTTAAAGTCCCCTAGTATATGGTGATGCAAGTTTCAATAAAGAGAATTCCTAGTATTAACTTTAAAAAAATTTGCTAGAGGGTGTGTTCACTCACTAGAGACAGAGAGAGAGAGAGAAGGTGAGAAAGCACTCCCGGGGATGGCCACGCTGCAGCCCCTTCTCCCGTCCTCCCTTACCACCACCTGACTGCCCCCAACATTCACGTGGCAAGGATTGTGCTCGGGCTCAGCAGTGGCGTGGGGGTTAAGGCCCTGGACTCTCACGAGGCTACCCACGGTGCTAGTCGCAGATTTGGCATTTTGCTTTCTCTCTTTCCCTTTCTCTCTGTCTCTCTCTGGTCATATTAAAAAATGAATAATAATAACAAATAAAATGAAATTATTAAGAAAAAATCATGCTTGTATCGATTCTAGTCTCAAAAACATCTGATGATTAAACAGAATACCGAGCCGGCCTGTGGCACGGTGGTTACAGCTAGATCCCGTAGGGCCAACGCCGACGCCACGGTTTAAGGCTCAGACCCTGTGGCTGGAGAAACATGCCAGGACCTGTGCTCGTGTGCTGAGTTCTGACTGGAGGGAGGAAGGGAGACGGGTTGTGATGCGACCCAGCCCCTGCTCTCTCTGTCTCTCTCATGTGAGCACACATGTCCTCTGACAAAATTTAATAAACAAATAGGGACCAGCAGATGCCGTAATGGTTAGGTCACTGGACTCCCACATAGTCCACCACAGTTCGAGTCCTGGACCTGGCAGTTTAAAACATGCCGGGCTTGTGGATGTGCATGCCCCCAATCCTGAGAGAATGGAGGAGAAGGGATTACAGCATGGCCATCCTCCTGGGAGGGTGATTTCTTGCTTCTGTCTCTCTGTCTCTGTCTCTCTGGCAAGTTCACTTCCCATACAACAAAATTCTCTAAAAAATAAATGAATAAATAAATAAATAAATGATAACACATACACAAAAACAGGTGCATCTGGTTTTCAGGTTGTCTCAGCCTAATCTCGCTCTCCCTGCTCCCCACTTTCCTTCCTGCGGCAGACACAGCATGGACCTCGCTGCAGCACAATGGCTCCCACCCAGCCAGAGTCAGAAGTGCCCATGGGGGCAGTCCGCAGCCGGTGCGTTTCCAGTACGCAGCCAGCGCAGAGCAGCTCCGGGCCCTCATCAGCCGCGCCACGCACTGCCACCAGCAGCTGGCCGTCCACTGCCGGCGAGCAAGGCTGCCAACTCCCCGCGGTAAGCTCGGGTGGCGCCTGGCCCCAGGAGTCCCCGAGGCCCGCCAGACGCCTGACACACCTGTGTCCCTAGCCCCTAAGTCACAATCTGGAAAGTGTAGAGCTGCTTTTTCGTGGAACAAAGAGTGGGGTGTTTTTTAGCCACTCTTTTCTTGAAGCTGGGAGTGATCTGAAGTCTCTTCCCACGCGACTGGGTGGCTGACCCATAAAGGCCTTACGAGGCCGGGGAGAGGGCAGCCGTGTCCTCCTTGTGTTCCCTCAGAAGAGGCTGCCAGCACAGCACGACCTGCTCATCTGAAGGCGATTATCCTGTCAGGTTCTTTTTCATAGACGGGTGCAATTAGTGTCTCAGTTTTTGCAAATTAGGGAACAGTGCTGGTATATGCAGTTCTTTGAGGACAGAAGACAGCTAACGTGCCAATAGTGGATTTTCATCTTTAGTCAGTTGTGTTGCCAGAATGCCCAATCCCGCTGCCTTCAGAAACCCCCTTTGGTTTCTGGAGCTAGTTTGCCTCTCCTCCATGAGACATGTGGGGGTGTGGACAGAGCAGCCAGCGACAGGGGGTCCTCTGAGCTCAGTGCCGAGCCTGTCACTGTCAGCTGTGGTACTGGGAAGTGGCTTTATCTTCCCGAGTCCTCAGAGTTAGGTGTGTACCTCACCAGGACTTAACTGCACGACATCTATAAAGCCTGTGTGGGAAACACTGCTAATTTACACACCTCCAATTGGTTGCATTTGCGTGCAGTGCTAGAGGGTTGGTACTCATTGTTAGTTGCTGGAAAACAGATTGCTGCACTGAGATGGTCTGATCCCAGAAGACTGAGAATGCTGACTTCCGGAGAGTCGGTACCGTAGAACAGCGGGCTTGGATTGTTCAGTCAGAGAAAGCTGTGCAAAGACAGAGGGGTTTTGGAGTAAAAAAAAAAAAAGGTCACCCAGTAGATGAGGGAGCAAAACTCAGGCTAATATTAATGTTGACTTAAAGTAAATAAATAAAGGCTGAGACAAAGCAAAGACGTCCTTTGGGCCAGAGTTAGGTAATTGCCTGCAAAATCTCCATTGTTCCAGGTAACGTGTACTGATATTCCACAGAGCTCAGGAGGGGTTTTCTGTCTTCTAGATTGTTTTTGCCATAGGGTACATTTGTTTGCCAGAGAGAGACAGAAAGAGAGGGGAAGTGAGAAATCACTTCCGGGGAAATGGCCATGCCACACCCCCACATGTCTCATGGAGGAGAGGCAAACTAGCTCCAGAAACCAAAGGGGGTTTCTGAAGGCAGCGGGATTGGGCATTCTGGCAACACAACTGACTAAAGATGAAAATCCACTATTGCCACAACCCCTTTTCTTCTATTCTCCTCTGGATTCGGGACATACATGCACATGCACCTGGTGTGATTTTCAAGCCTCCGGGTCTGGGACTAGAACCTCAGAGTTGGCCATGTGGGATCAGGCACCTCAGCCACCATGCTACCTGCTGGCCCTCAGGATGAATTTAAGGCAAGAGTCTTGAGAGTTGGGTGGGGGAGTCTTACACAGCAGGGATGGGCTAAATTCTGTGATGAACACAGCAGGATGGCTTCACGGACACCCAGAGTCACTTTGCTAATCTGAGTTGTAAGCAGTGTGGAGACAGTGGGTCTGGAAGGTAAAGGAGGGAGGTACTTGGGCAATTAAGATGTTCCTAAACAAGTCCAATGAGTCTAGGCAGCATCTCGAGCTATTTCAGGTGCACATTCCTGAGAAAACCACAGGTGTGCGTACGTTTCATTTCCTTTCCACTCTGACTTGGATAGAATACAGTCTCTTGATTGAGGAAAAACTGGTCTATCTGGGATCTGTCAGCTTCCTTAAAGTTTCAGTTTAATCATGTAACATTTTAGCATGAGTGACTCCATTTTGGTCTGGTTCGTTGGACTCAAAAACAGGAGCTTAGTCCAAAACAGTGGTCTCCGGGACCAGCATGTTGCTTCATGGTTAAGGTGCTGGACCCCACATGGACAACTGTGGTTCGAATCCTGGACCTGGTGGTTTGAAACTCTCACCAGGTACATGTGTGTGCATGCCCAGGATCCCAAGAGGAGAATGGAAGAAGAGGGATTATGGTATGGCCATCTCTGCTTGCGGATTATTTCTTATTGTCTATTTCTATGTCTGTCTCTCTGGTGAGTGCATGTGCCCTAAAGCAAACAATCTCTCTCTCTCTCTCTCTCTCAAAAAAAATGGCCTTCTACAGTTTTAATTTACAGCTAGTACATGGTTTGTTCCAGATCCCAGCACCATCCAGAGCAGAAAAGAATTCTCACATGAAGGGCCATTGTTCACCTTTCAATTCAGAAATGATTACTTGATTATCATCCTTTCTATATAAATATATAACCCAACACCAAACCAAGTCTTTAACTAGCATTAGGGGAAAGTACAGAAATAGGAAAGAATTTTAAACTTGTTAAACATTTTCTAAAGACAGAAATTAGAGGACTGTATTGTCCATTCATAGTCATATGAATCCCTGTATGCTGGAGAATTGTTTGTATAGATTTAAACAATCCAGTACAAACCCATTGACTTCCAGATGCTCTTTTTTGAAAATTTATTTTTTATTATTTATTTTTATTTTTTCATTTCATTTTCTTCCATACATTCAATCACATTATTATTTATCTTACAAAATGGATATTTCAGCAGGTGAACACCTCTCCCCAGCACCGTCGATAAAACCACGAAACATCTTCAACAGATAATACCACACCTCTTTGTGCCATTAATGCTTTTCCTCTCTGTCTCTCCCCCAAATGTCCTTCCTCAGACCCTCCTCTTTCACACACACTATATCTGGTATTTACATCTATATACTGTGTTTCTATATCCTTTAGACAATTAGTTTCAGTCATAGAGTGCAGACACTTGGTATATATTAAGTGGGGACATACAATGCCTCTCCTTCATAACATGGCTTGCCTCACTCAGCAGTAAGTCTTCCATATTCATCCACTTACTGTCAAAAGCCAGAGTTTTGTTGTTTTTTTTATGGCTGAATAGTATTCCATTGAATATATGTGCCACAGTTTTTCTAACCGTTCATCAGTTCGTGGGCATTTGGATTGCTTCCATGACTTGGCAATCGTGAAAAGTGCCGCAATAAACATTGATGTGCAAGCACTTTTCCGATAAAATATTCTTCTGTCCTTTGGGTAGATACTAAAGAGTGGGAGTGCTGGATAACATGATAGTTCTATTTGTAGATTTTTGAGGAATCTCCAAATTGTTCTCCACAGTG